TCAGGTGTGCTTCGTTCAGTTACATGTTAGCACATTGCCTCCCTCCCACCTGCATTGGCTCCCTCTCCCACCTGCATTGCCTCCCTCCCACCTGCATTGCCTCCCTCCCACCTGCATTTGCCTCCTCCTCCCACCTGCATTGCCTCCTCCCCACCTGCATTGCCTCCCTCTCCACCTGCATTGCCTCCCTCTCCCACCTGCATTGCCTCCCTCTCCCACCTGCATTGCCTCCTCTCCCACCTGCATTGCCTCCTCTCCCCACCTGCATTGCCTCCTCTCCCACCTGCATTACCTCCCTCTCTCCCACCTGCCATTGCCTCCCTCTCCACCTGCATTTACCTCCCTCTCTCCACCTGCATTACCTCCCTCTCTCTCACCTGCATTACCTTCCCTCAGTCTCAAGCGCCCTCACTAAACCACGTGGTCTGGCTCCCCTCACCCTCATTAACACCCCGTTAAGCCCTTAAACGACCTCATCTGCATTACCTACCTCCCCTCACACCTGCCAGCTTCATTTAACCCTTTTAATTCCTGCTTTCCAGCTCTCAATCACCTTGAACATGACCCTTACCAGTTCTAAGTTACTTTAGACATGGCCCTTTCCAGTTCGAAGTCACCTTAGACATGGCCCTTTCCAGTTGTGAGTCACTTTACACATGACCCATCTAGCTGTCACCTTACACATGGCCTTTAACAGCTTTCGTCACCTTAGATATGGCCCTTTCCAGCTTTCGTTACCTCAGACATGGCCCTTTTCACCTTTTATGGCCCTTCAAACCCTCGTCACCTTACACATGGCCCTTCAACCTCGTCACCGCCCATGGCCTTAACTCGTCACCTTTTGGCCCTTCAAACCCTCGTCACCTTACATGAGCCCTTCAACCCTCGTCACCTTACACATGGCCCTTCCAACCCTCGTCACTTACACATGGCCTTCAACCCTCGTCACCCACATGGCCCTTCAACCCTCGTCACCTTACATGCCCTTCAGCCCTGTCACCACACATGGCCCTTCCAGCCTCGTCACCCCCATGGCCCTTCCAACCCTCGTCACCACATGGCCCTTCAACCTCGTCACCTTACACATGGCCCTTCCAACCTCGTCACCGACCACATGGCCGTTCCAGCCCTCGTCACCTTACACATGGCCCCTTCCAGCCCTCGTCACCTTACACATGGCCCTTCAGCCCTCGTCATACATGACCCTTCCAGCCCTCGTCACCTTACATGACCCTTCCAGCCCTCGTCACCTCCACACTGACCCTTCAGCCCTCGTCCCTTGCCAGCCTTCAGCCCTCGTCACCTTACACTGGCCCTTCCGGCCCTCGTCACTTACACGCAGGCCCTTCAGCCCTCGTCACCTTACACACATGGCCCTTCCAGCCCTCGTCACCTTACACATGGCCCTTCCAGCCCTCGTCACGCCACGCCCCTTCCAGCCCCGTCACCTTACATGGCCCTTCAGCCCTCGTCACCCTTACATGGCCTTCAGCCCTCGTCACCTTACACATGACCCTTCAGCCCTCGTCACCTTACACATGACCCTTCAGCCTGTCCTTACATGCTTCCCTGTCACTTTACACATGACCCTTCCAGCCCTGTCACCTTACACATGACCCTTCAGCCTCGTCACCTTACATGACCCTTCCAGCCCTCGTCACCTTACACATGACCCTTCAGCCCTCGTCACCTTACACATGACCCTTCCAGCCCTCGTCACCCTTACACATGACCCTTCCAGCCCTCGTCACCTTACACGCCCTTCCAGCCCTCGTCACCTTACATGTGTTCATAGCCCTTCCAGCCCTCGTCACCTTACACATGGCCCTTCAGCCCTCGTCACCTTCACATGGCCCTTCCAGCCCTCGTCACCTTACATGGCCCTTCCAGCCCTCGTCACCTTACACAGCCTTCCAGCCCTCGTCACCTTACACACCCTTCAGCCCTCACCTTACACACGGCCCTTCCAGCCCTCGTCACCTTACACGGCCCTTCCAGCCCTCGTCACCTACACGGCCCTTCCAGCCCTCGTCACCTTACACATGCCCTTCCAGCCCTCGTCACCTTACACATGACCCTTCCAGCCCTCGTCACCTTACACGGCCCTTCCAGCCCTCGTCACCCATGACCCTTCAGCCCTGTCCCCGCACATGACCCTTCAGCCCTCGTCACCTTACACATGACCCTTCAGCCCTCGTCACCCCAGCCTTACACCTGTCACCTTACTCCCAGCCTCGTCACCTTACACGGCCCTTCCAGCCCTCGTCACCTACGCCCTTCCAGCCCTCGTCACCACACATGACCCTTCCAGCCCTCGTCACCTTACATGACCCATCAGCCCTCTCACCTTACACATGACCCTTCCAGCCCTCGTCACCTTACACATGACCCTTCCAGCCCTCGTCACCTTACACATGACCCTTCCAGCCTCGTCACCTTACATGACCCTTCCAGCCCTCGTCACCTTACACATGGCCCTTCCAGCCCTCGTCACCTTACACATGGCCTTCCAGCCCTCGTCACCTTACACATGGCCCTTCAGCCTCGTCACCTTACACGCGCCCTTCCAGCCCTCGTCTCCACACGGCCCTTCCAGCCCTCGTCACCTTACACATGGCCCTTTCAGCCCTCGTCACCTTACATGGCCCTCCAGCCCTCGTCACCTTACACATGACCCTTCCAGCCCTCGTCACCTTACACATGACCCTTCCAGCCCTCGTCACCTTACATGACCCTTCAGCCCTCGTCACCTTACACATGGCCCTTCCAGCCCTCGTCATACACGCGGCCCTTCCAGCCCTCGTCACCTTACACGCGGCCCTCCAGCCCTCGTCACCTTACACTGACCCTTCCAGCCCTCGTCACCTTCACAACCCTTCAGCCTCGTCCCCTTACACATGGCCCTTTCAGCCCTCGTCACCTTACACACGACCCTTCCAGCCCTCGTCACCTTACATGACCCTTCCAGCCCTCGTCACCTTACACATGACCTTCCAGCCCTCGTCACCTCGCGGCCTTCCAGCCCTCGTCACCTTACACATGGCCCTTTCCAGCTCTCAGTCACATGCCTATCAGCCATAAACAGGTACTGTCTTGACATCAATTTAACCCCTCTCGAGGTTTCCACAAGCACCGACCAGCCTAGTAACCCCAGACACCTCAGCTAGTAACCCCAGACACCTCGGCCTGATACCCCGACACCTCAGCCTAGTAACCCAGACACCTCAGCCTAGCCCAGACACCTCAGCCTAGTAACCCCAGACACCTCAGCCTGGTAACCCCAGACACCTCAGCCTAGTAACCCCAGACACCTCAGCCTGTAACCCCCAGACACCTCAGCCTAGTAACCCCAGACACCTCAGCCTAGTAACCCCAGACACCTCAGCCTAGTAACCCCAGACACCTCAGCCTAGTAACCCCAGACACCTCAGCCTAGTAACCCCAGACACCTCAGCCTAGTAACCCCAGACACCTCAGCTTAGTAACCCCAGACACCTCGCCTAGTAACCCCAGCACCTCAGCTAGTAACCCCAGACACCTCAGCCTAGTAACCCCAGACACCTCAGCCTAGTCGAACCCTCAGCCTAAACCCCAGACACCTCAGCCTAGTAACCCCAGACACCTCAGCCTAGTAACCCCAGACACCTCAGCCTAGTAACCCCAGACACCTCAGCCCAGCACCGGAGTCTCGAGCCTTTAAGACACACCCCAATTCTATAATCTAAAAGTAATCATTAATTATCAACTGGTCAGCAACACTCACGATATACTGGAGTCATCAGGAGTCTCCTTACCTGGAAAAAAAAAAAACCTTAGATTGCGGTTACAACAAACCTTCACATGTATTGTAAACAGTAACTCAAAGATTTTTCTAATTGCTAACGAGTTTCAAGTACCACGAAATTCCTTGCCTTCTGGCAAATATAAACCAATGTCTGACAAAATTGTGTTATTTGTAAAATAAGAAAAGGTGGTATTGGTACAATTGCTTTTAGCATCTCTAGGTACACTTTTTTAAACAGGTTTATAACATTGTAATTCATACTGTCAAGTATGCACGGCACCGTGACCTTACAAGGTATACAACGTGGCCGGAAATCTTGGCCGATTGTTGACTAATAAAATATCTATTTTTATTCTGCCCCCAATGTAAAGGTCAACGAATAGTACCGTACCGTTTCATATAACACTAATATTCAGCAAGACCAATTACCGGTATACACATAATTTCCTTTCAAAAGTTTCATCTTCAAGCACGATTGTTACCACCCTCTGGCAAGAAGCTCCTACGTAGCCGTTCAGAAATCATATGATCTCTTGTATAATAAAATTGATGAATTCTACATTATAGATAATGCCGTGTGCACACTTTTTCTCAAATGAAATTGTACGTCAAGCAAAATCCTATACTTATCTCCAATTCACTCATCCATACCTTGACACCTGGGCCTGCCACATGTACACGATCAGTCACCATCGCCCGATTGTGTATAACAAAGCCCAATAAAACTAGAACAACATTTATTAGTGTTACTAATATGACGGAGGTGTTGAGCGGTGGTTGACGCTCATACATGTTTTGGGAAACATGTTCTCCAATACGTGATGTTTTCATTATGGTACACTTGAGACCGCTTGTCACCGTTAGTGCTAACACCAGAAATAGGCAATAATTCTTATCTGTTAATCAAAGGTATCGATGTTTAATGACTTCTTAATGTGGCACGTTTACCAAGAGCTGTGGGCTATTGTCAGCACCTACCTCAAATACGCCAATTCACGCGCACCAAATTATTAGTCAACCCCGTAACATCAAGAATATATTAACAAGTATAAATGGAAACTGTTCTGTAGACGTTAGCTCCTGTGCACTGTTTCTCACGTACCGTGTTGCCACGCCTAACACACACACACACACGTGAATTATGATCCCAAGATACAACAGGTAAACAATACCGCCAGTCATGCTTACACCACTTTCACTCGCCCGGATAAACCGGTTGAAGAACTTAAAATTGATTAGGAGGAACGAAACGAAAGAAAACATTGTGGAAGGACAGGACTAATTCATTTAACAGCAGAAAGTAAGCTATTTAATTAAAATATTTACAACTACTATGGCGATTCATTCGAATGTACAGTCCCCCAAAAAAGTATCGTTAGCCATAAGGGTCATGTGATTCGAGGCTTTCCGAGCAAAGTTACTCGACCTGTTTCTGAACGGTTGGTAGGTCTACATCCGTGACCTTTAAGCATTAATGAATATATACGTTTTCAAACGATACATGCATAAATATAGCTTAATGGATTAATTGTTATATTGAAGTATTTAGTATGCCATACAAGGACGACTCCTTCCCCCATCTCTAGCTGTTGGTGATGTAGCGAGCAGCCATACCAACTTATGATGATGCACTGGGGATCATATCAAAGCATTTCGTCGACTGTTTCAAATTGTATCGACGGAAAACCTAAATTATATAGTTTGTTGGATCTTTTGAAATCTCTGGTCATAATACCGAGCAAAGCCAGCAAGTGTTTTGTCACACCAAAACAACCTTCTAACTGGGTTCCAGTGTGTATAAGATTTAATATAACTACATTGCATAGTATTTCAGAGGAGCTTCATTAGAGATGTGAAATATATACCTTAACATTTTTATTCAACGCCTAGCTAGAAAACAAAAGTAGACACGTAACTACAGGCTAGTACAAGAGACAACATACCTCAAGTCTGTAGACTCACCTGTGCAGTAGTATGGTCCCCACAACTGCTTATCTGTAGGTGGGTCACACTATCAACACATTCACAAGCGAGTATATACAGTAGATTCACGTTGTCTGCACCGCCGAGGAATCTTAGTCGACACGTATGAAACGAATCGTTTACCACAGGTACAAAATGTTCCAAGAAATTAACACAGACGATGCACCCCACTACGATGTAGACCCGTGCCTGGTCCAGCACCAACCATCACTGGCGGCCCACACCACCAGTCGCCCCGCCGTCTACCACATCTTCAATCACCAAAGGGTCATTTCGATCACCAATTTCCCCCACTACTTAATGGATCTCATCGTCATTGGGAAGAGCAACAGCGTCGTCCCGTTACACCGGTGTTCAACGTTCCCATTCAGTCCCTCGGGTCTTACTCTGTATGGTTGTTACATATGTATGAGCTCTGGACTTCCCTATGTGTTATGTACTGCTCATCACGTCAGCCTAATGTGGTGGAACCTGCACCCTCACGTCAACCACCCAACCTCTCCTTACTTCCGTCTCTTGCTTTCCCCTCCCTCTATGTTTCCCATCCTCTTTCCACCCCCCTCCTTATTCCCCCTCCCTCCCCCGTTCCTAAACAGGTCCACCAGTGTCCCCCCTCGTCGGTACGGCACTAAATCTGGCTAACGGCCTAATGCGTGTGTCGGCTACACATTATACAGTAGTTCCCCCGTAAGTTGCTCCTTACTATGCAGTATCCAGCTCGTCACGCAAACGCCCACCCCGAACTTCCGACCCACACGTATTTGTGACACGCTATTCACCACCTCTTACTCATCACTCCGGTATTTCCAGGACGTCATCCACTCTGCCTTCACTCCCAGTTCTTTCTTC